ACAGAACAAGCGCAACAATGGAACAGAGGATGAATGAAATACATTATAAGCTGTAAAATAGTAAACTCTGGGCCTATTTATCGCACCTTTGGCAGTACAGACGAAACTGACCATAATTTGGCCAAACTATATGTAAATTTACCGAAGTAATGTTAAAAGCCTCTAAGAAAGGCATTCGCTGGTGAGACTATCGATGGATTCCCTTCTCCAAGAGCCAACTGATGACGGTTTTGACTCTTTTCTGTTAGTGCCAATATACCGTCCTAATGATGGGCAAATTGTAGAGGGATTGGTTTCTTTCACCAGCGAAGTTAAATCCTCGAACTTATACATGCTGCTTGTTGCTAGATCATGTCCGTTGTTGTAAATGCAAAGAAAGAAAACAAAACGAAAATATAACAATTCTGCTTAGTGGAGGGAGATCACAGCACTCAACAAGTCAATTGCAGCAAAAATTGAGAGTGTACTGAGAGTTAAAGAGGCAAAACCGTTTTTAAAATGCACAAAATCAACACTGTTTTGTTTACTTCATCCAAAAAAAAAAAATCCTAGAAGTGTGGAAGCGCAGAGTGTGCTTTTCCCTATGCAGACTTCGCGAATTCGACTCAAATTTTTGCAATAAAGTGTTGCTGGGAATTTTAGTGCACTTCAGACCAATTTGACACTACGCGCATTTCTTCGTCACAATCGATTTTCCCTCATCGTCATATTCCGCTCGGCTGATCCACATTTGTTGGAATGCGCCCTGTAAATGCTGCTTTTAACGCCCAGAAACGTTCGTAACATCATAAGTTTCAAGTTACCTCCGCTTCAAATAACCTTATTCAGTCTCCGGCTGAAGAAAGAATACCAAACAGCTGGAATGAGTAGAAATTTGTTTCGTTCCATGAAAGAAACTGTAACGAATCACTCGGATTGCCTTGTTTTCCCACATTCGTAAGGATGGTTATCTGACATTATGAAGCTATTTGGGAGCTTTTTTAAAATATTTGAAATTTAATATGTAAGCTTACAAGGGAAGCCAAGATTGATCCACCAATCCAAGCTCCGAATCGTCTTTCCATGGGCGTGGGTGCTGCATATACTCGCAATTTTATAGTCTATAAATTGATCGTAGGTAAAAATTGTAAAAAAGCATAAAATTTGAATTCTAGCGATTCTAACGCTTATAACAAGTGTACTTACCGGAGGGCATTTGTGAGCGAGGTCATGATTGAGTCTTTCGGTGAAACCCATCAACAATGAGTTACCTCCTGTCACCGTAAGGCCTGAGTACATTGCCTGCAAAGTGAATATATGAAATGCTTACCAACTTCATTAACATCTCAAATAATTCGGCTTACACGAACTGCAAAATAAAGATATTTCGAAAGTGGACTTCAAATTCCGCACTGATCCAAAATGTTAAAAATTCCAGGAGTTACCAAAAACGAAAGAGAGAATTATGCAGAAAACACTCACTGGTCGTATATCAATGTCACACATTCCACATGCAGCAGCTGCAATTTGTGAGACCGACATAACTGAAGATGCGTTCACTGCCTAAATTGTATGAAACTGTTCACATAAATTATTCAGGATGACTGGATTTGCATTATTTTTCTAAAACAAGATATAATTAACCTTTAAATAATTGGTATCAAAAAGG